AATGCCCATAGAGTAGCATATTAACGATTAATGTCTCAGTTATTATTATTATTATCCGGTAGGAGTTGGGGCGTCCGGCGGAACCGCCATTTGCCCTCTCTGGAGTCCCACCCAAAGTCAATCAACCACCAGAAGGACTTTTCTGGGTTAATTGCACATCCAGTAGCACTAATGCCTCCAGCCCACATGGAAGCCGCTTGTTGGACGGAGTGGCAAATATCCTCGCCAGATTGTTCCACGGACTTGCCCGCTTCGATCACGTCCGTGTCGTCGACAAAGCAGAAGCACTGAGCGGTGAGCAGGTGAGAGTCAATTGCTGTAAGACATTCAAAGCCAAAGCCCATTGCGGTCATCATTTGGATGATGACGGAGCTAACCGAAACCCAAATGGGCGGGCCCGCTCCGTTGCCCTGTCCGCAACCCTGAAATGGTACTATGGAAGGGGGGTGAAAGCTATCTTCAGAGTCACCAAAGCCCATCTGCACTCAGTGCGTGGACGTTGCTAGAGTGTCAAACATCATACGCAACGCATTCCAAGTAATCGCCAGACGCATCATGGCTATCACCGCAACCCAATGGACGACCCAATCAAAACAAGACTTTGCGTCATTTGAAATCCATCCCGCTGAGCGGCGCTGGAGAATCAGCAGGTCCCACACCAGACATTTAGACAAGGCAAGATCGATCGCTTGATGGTTCTTTCGAGACCCGCACTGACCATCGGCCAGAAGGTGATGTTCTTCCCGGTAGGCCATGGCCAGGCGGCCAAGTTTCTTGTAGTTCGCTTGGGATTCAGAATTCATGAGCTGAATCATACGCCTGGCTTCTTTTCGATAGCGAACTTCATCAGATGCCGCCAGTTGTCAGGGACGAACCCAGTTATCAAGGGTATGTGGCGGAAGAGAGCGTCGCATTGGGCCACCATAGGAGAATAGATCCCAGCCTTGAAGTGACCGTTATGTAGCCCGTGCGGTTCCGAGCCCTTATTCTCTGGATTACGAGACCAGAAGTAGGTATGGTCTTCAGGCCACACTTCCATTGGGATCATGGAGTGCCCTTGATGGAACCGGCACTGCTCCAGGAATGACTGAGTGTAAGAATCGATCCCATCCGGCATTGGAAGGCGGTCCTCCAGTAGGGCAAAGGAGTTCCTCTCTGCGTCCACCCCGTTGAAATTGAATACAAGGGTTTGTCCATGGGAGGAGTCGTATAGGGCAATCGAGTCTGGTTGTACCGTGCACGATTTTCCTGCATGCACCCTTGCTCAACTTGTCTCCGGTCAGTGAGAGTTCGAAGGTCCACTTTTCCGGTAGGTAACTGCTCCTCAACTTGAATCGCTTGCAAACCACCGGTAGATCCTTTCAACTGGGCGCGGCGGCGGCGTCTCGCCTCCTCTCGTTGCTTCATCCGCCGTAACCTCAAAAAGCGATCTCTAGCCTTGCGCGATGTCCATTGTTTCTTCTTAGATTCCTTCACTTGAACAGTCAAGTTGAACAGTCAAGAACTCCTTGAGCCATGTAACTGCATGCTCTTTCCTGTCATTACGCAATGCCGTCTCCAATTCAACCGTAGCCTTCTTCCAGGCGTCGGGCAACTTAGTCTTCTTCATAAGTCTACGGATTTTCCGCGAGCTAACTCGGCACTGCTTCCTTCCCTTCAGCAGTAGCTTCCACAAAGACTGGCGATCCCAAAAGTTTTGGATCTGAGGAGACCACGGGACTGCCCCATTCGTAACCCTTCGACACCTCGCTTCCGCTTTCCGACGAATATCGTATGTCTGCTTGTGCAAGCAGTTATACTGACGTCCCATTTTCTCAGTCATAATCCCGTTGTTTAAGGTTAATTGGCTATGAAGCTGGTCCAACCGCGATGGAATGGAGTACGCGTCATAGCCCTGGTGAACCAGCCGGAGATAGTGTCGAACAGCCGCAGTATGAAGCATCGTTAATTTGTGAGGCTTGTATGGTGTCTTCTCCGGTCAATGGCTACCAAGAGACCGTTCCAAGTCAATATCAATCCACAGGCCACGATGATCAAGGATAATCCTGATCCCACGAATACCAAGAGTCAACGCAAGCAACCCCCCCTTCCAAAACCGCCGAGGATGGCGCAGTGCAAGGACGGCCGCTCGTTGCCTACAACAAGAACCTCAAGGTGTCCAAGTTCCACAGGCTCTACAAGAAGGCGTGGAGGAAAGAGGTTTTCGGAAACCAGGCATTTATTACTTGGTCTTCTCGCACGGCGGAATACTCTGGTCGGGCAATCTCCAAATGCCCTGGCTGGTGGGCCGACGTCAACATGGATCCATCTTCCGACGCCCAAACCTACGACGACATCGCTGCGTTCATCCTGACTGGCCTGAAGGCGTACGACCCATCACTCGGCGGTTCGATGCCACAGCTTCGGTCCAGCATGCAGAATCTGTTCTCCCTTGGAGATCTCGAAGATGCCGACGACGACGACGGTTCCTGGGCTCTTCGCGAGTACTTTCTTCGTCTCGCGACACAGTGCCCCACGGTTGTGTTCGATCTTGCAACGGCCCAACATATAAATGTAATCGTTATGTTATTACAAGGGTGTTGACTTACGAATTAGTAGATGTTAAAGATAGTAATGTAGATCGAATCGTATTCTTAAAAAGAGTGTTGCTATCGTGTGTTTTCATGCGTCTGAGCAATTTGGCTGCATCAACGACGGGGAATGGCGTTGTGGTAGGGTCTCGTCCCATGCGAATCTCGTCTCTGCACCATTGGATGAATGCGCGGATGTTCTTTTTGATAGCCGGCATCAAGCGTATCTGTCCTTGCGCAATCGTCAATCCTGCGAGGGTCTTGAACTCTTCGTTTAGTTTGTCAATGGTGCTGTCCATCGTTGTGGTGAAATCGTCCGAGAATATTTCGTAAGCAATTCTCTCGGCTTGTGTGCGTCCTTGGAAGAGGGTGACATTGTCAATGCCACAGATGACCATGTCGTCGTGTACAGTGAAGAAAGGAGGAACAGCGGCCATGTTGCCTGTATCAATGTCATACATCAAATTGTTAGCTCACATTTCTTTTATTCGTAACAGTTTTTGTTGGTGTTGTTCAGCACGATTCGTGGCAGTTTTCGTTGGTGTTGCTCAGCACGATTCGTGGCAGTTTTCGTTGGTGTTGCTCAGCACCATTCGTGGCAGTTTTCGTTGGTGTTGCTCAGCACTCAGCACCGTTCATCATAATGTTCATAACATTTGATGTCATTTCGTATTTACGATCATGTTCATTATTACGTTCATAACGTTTGATGGCATTGCATTTCGATACGTTTCAATACATTTCAATACATTTCAAACGTATTCATTTTCGTTTCGTTCGTCCGATAACTTTTGGCAGTTATTGCTGGATCTGATAAACCATATAAATTTAATCGTTATGTTATTACGAGGGTGTTGACTCACGAAGTAGTAGATGTTAAAGATAGTAATGTAGATCGAATCGTATTCTTAAAAAGAGTGTTGCTATCGTCGTTTCATCGACAGGCTTCAACGAAGGCCGATCCCGTTCACTTACGGACATGAACCATTGCATGCGTGTGCAATAGCACGGTAGCCTTCATTTGCCAACGCGTTTTCACTACGGACGAAAAGTCGCCTCGCTTTTGGGAATTTTCGCTCGTGTTCGACCCAACATTAATTGTTCAACGCGCCAAGCCGTTGACGTGGATGTGGCTAGCGGCAGCCGAATTCTTTGCTCATCCTTGGACGGGCCCTGCGATCATTCCTCCCGTTGTGGAGGAATTCGAGCGACTAGAACGAGAGTCGAAAATAGCCAAAGCTCAGTCCAAGTCTAAGAAGCGCCCTGAATCGACTCCAGAGAATCCAAAAGGTGCCAAGGCACACGATTCGCGCCCGTCTCCCTCTGTCCCGATGCAAACGGAACTGACGCCACCAAAGGGTCGGTCCAATCCCTACCAACAAACTCCACCTTCGGATGCCACTCCTCCTCGCCAACAAGTGGTCATGTCTGACGCCGTTCACGTCATCGCCGGCACCCCATAATAATAACTGATTCATCTTGTCAACTGCAATGTTCTTTTCGTGATGGTGTTGCTGCCAAAGTCTTTCTTGTGATAATAATAATAACTGAAACATTAATTGATTAAATGCTATCTAGCACATACGATTGCCGGTGGAATAAGCGGCTGTAAAGGTCAAGTGCCGTGAAGCGACGAGTCAACAACTAGTTTGAACCATTGGAGACATCTGGTGGACAGAAGTTGCTCTAGTCAGGATCGAGGGGATCCCAACTCTACCCGCGACAAGGCGGGGTGATTTTGGGGCGTTGATTCCTCGAAACGGGATTAGGGGGCCTGGGCTGAGTGGAAGAAGCGGTGAAGGATACGGCGTTGAGGCGCCAGAGCGCGGCGGTAGGCCGTGCGTTCCATTCTAACCAGCTTCAGCCACTCTTCCCTATCGACCAATGGCTTGTTCAACACTGTTCGGCGTTTCACGGCGAGCATGCGTTGAACTACCTTGGGGAGGTCAATTGGGCCCATATCAAACTGAGAGTGTATACCGTCGTTCACCAATCGGCTACGTTCGCGTAGCTGGACGTTGTCCTCCGAATGTTGCACCGAGTTCCGGTGTTCCCACATATGAAATCCAAGCAGGATCAGCTGATGCAACAGACGGGAGACACGCGGTAGGCCGTGCGTTCCATTCTAACCAGCTTCAGCCACTCTTCCCTATCGACCAACGGCTTGTTCAACACTGTTCGGCGTTTCACGGCGAGCATGCGTTGAACTACCTTGGGGAGGTCAGTTGGGCCCATATCAAACTGAGAGTGTATACCGTCGTTCACCAATCGGCTACGTTCGCGTAGCTGGACGTTGTCCTCCGAATGTTGCACCGAGTTCCGGTGTTCCCACATATGAAATCCAAGCAAGATCAGCTGATGCGACAGGCGAGAGACCCACAGGGTCGGAGAGCGTTGGCTCCCTCGTGACTGAAGGTACTGTGCCTGCAGGGCCGCCCACTGAACAGACAGCCGGCCTTCCAATAATCCTTGGTAGCCGATGCGTTGTTGGGAGAGGAAAGCGCGGCGAAGACGAACCGGAACCAACCGACTGCGGGGTAGGGACGGATCACGAACCCCTTGAAGGAGGTATAGGATAGCGTGTTTGATGGCTGGGTCAGTGACTTGAGTGTCCAACCATTGGTCCAAGGTCACCGTCCGGCGCCCCCATTCCGCACTCGCCGAGGGCGCCACACATCGAGGAACATGAAGGTGGTCCTCGAATTCGCCGCAGCAGGGGCACGCAGCTGAGTCTGCGGAACCCCATCGGACTTTGAACTTCCCTACACCACACATACCCACGACATGCTTTGTGGTCCGACGTTGGACACCTGCCGGAAGGGAGCTCATGGCGCGAGCCAGACTGGTCCAATCGGCCTCCAGCTCCGCCTCCGGTGTAATCGTCTGCCGCTCGTGCCATCGCTTGCGTAGAGCAGGCAGCGCCACCAGTTCCTGGACCTGTTCTGGATTCAATCGCGACTGTTTGACGTCCCCGATGTAGAGGGCAGCCAATTCGGTAAAGAAACGATCGTTAGGTGCGATCAATCGGTGTGAAGCTTCGAGCTGGTGGCGATAAGCGACCGCCCACGCATCCACTTCCACATTCCGTTTGGACCACCAAGAGAGACACGAAAAGGATGTCGCCTTATCAAGGTGACCGTACACGTGGCTAGGTTCCCACAAGGCCCTAGAGCGGACAAGTGCCTCCCGGATAGAGGAGACCAGGTCAAACTGGGCTTGTTGCGGTGTGACTCGATTGTCACTGAAGGTGTTGAGCAGCGCCGAAAATCCATCGCACGCAATCCTGACGCGAGGTGATGATCAAAGTGTTGGGGCCCACTGGTCGAGGAGCCAATCAACAACCATGATACCGGCCAGTAGGCCAATCAATTCACTCCGGTATGCGCTCTGGTCATCAGGTAGACCCGGAGTCTGGCACCGGACGATAATACGTTCCTTGCCACCCTTATGTGGAAGCAGTTGAACCGCTGCCGTGCCCAGACCGAGCTTATAAGAACCGTCGCTGATCTCACACAGCCGGTCGTCGAGTAGGGCTTCATCAAGGAGGCTTTCGTCGCCATCGATCTCTATTTCTTCAGGGGTCCAGCCAACATACTCGGTCACCTTGGCTGAGGCGGCCATCCAGGCGGCCAGCAGGGACGGTTGAGAGTCGTGATGCGGCTGCAGCGGTGCTGTCCCAATGCCGGTGAGGGCTAGAGAACCTAGCAAAGGCGTAATGTGGACGGTAGCTCGGCACAAGTCAGCTGGGAGTGGTTGGGTCCAAAAGGGGGCCGGCAAGAAGCTGGCGCCGTTGTCTGTAGGCTCGTTATGTGGTCGTTTGCACCCGGACAGTTGCATAGAACGAGTATATTCCCATTGAGTGCTCCGTGTGGAGGAGCGACGGTGACGGTAGTGTTGCCAACCGTGGCCCTGGCGGTGGAACAATCCGTGAGTAACCAGTTCCAATTGTCGAGAGGATCGAACCATGGGCCCAGAGGATGGCGCAGTAGGCGCTGGGGTCCGTCAGAGACAAGTAGTGCTCGAGTAAGGTGCTCCTGCCACACCCTCCAATGGTGCCTTTGGGGCCGGACGGTGCGAGGCCATTGATATGAAGACCGATGAGCGTAGTCACATTCCCCATGCCACATAGACTCTCGGATGCTGCAGCCATCGGCCGTCACGATGTCAGAGACGGTGCAAACTTGGAGGAACATACAGCACCAGTTGAGCCACTTCAGAGCGTCCTGATCCACTTCCAACTCCATGAATACCTCAATGAGCAAGGCATCGCCTTCGCATCGGAGAGGGAGGACAGGAGAGTCAAGAGCAACGTAGATATCCAAGTCCTCCAACTCTTTCCAGACTCTTTTGAGCCATGTATCTGACGCCAAAATTGCCGTGTTGCTATAGTCCTGCTGGAAGAGTCCGAAGGAGGTGCCGGTCTCAAGTTGGTGTTCTTCAACCGCAGCCTCCATATACGCCCCAGTTTTTGTTCGGTTGGACAAGTGGCGGAGCAGGACCTCAATATGTTTAGACACCTGCGTACCGAACGGATGGGGGATGCCCAGACCCTGGAATTTGAGAGGGGCAAGAACCATGTCGCGAGGGAAGCTCCTGCATATGCCGGCCTTCAGAAGGGATACTTGGAGAACAGGACTCATAATCGACACCCATGTCGCAGCATCCAGTGTAGTTGACACCATAGGATATTCCAGGGATTTCATCACTGTGGTCCGGATAAGAAGAATGACATCGTATTTGTGTAGATGCCCCGATCGCACTTGCTCAGCCCACTTTTTAGCGATACTCTTGAGGTGGGCGACGTGAGCATGTTGATCTTCCAATGGGGCCAACATGACCCCCAAGGTTTTCTCTGCCTCATCCGGCTCCAGACGGCGTAAGGCTTCCAATTCGCCAGTCAGTCCAGGTATTTGTAATTTATGATCCGGTAGAAGTTGGTGTGTCCGGCGAAACCTCCATTTGCCCTCTCTGGAGTCCCACCCAAAGTCAATCAACCACCAGAAGGACTTTTCTGGGTTAATTGCACATCCAGTAGCACTAATGCCTCCAGCCCACGTGGAAGCCGCTTGTTGGACGGAGGGGCATATATCCTCGCCAGATTGTTCCACGGACTTGCCCGCTTCGATCACGTCCGTGTCATCGACGAAGCAAAAGCACTGAGCGGTGATCAGTTGAGAATCAATTGCTGTAAGACATTCAAAGCCAAAGCCCATTGCGGTCATCATTTGGATGATGACGGAGCTAACCGAAACCCAAATGGGCGGGCCCGCTCCGTTGCCCTGTCCGCAACCCTGAAATGGTACAATGGAAGGGGGATGAAAGCTCTCTTCAGAGTCACCAAAGCCCGTCCGCACTCGGTGCGTGGACGTGGCTAGAGTGTCAAACATCATACGCAACGCATTCCAAGTAATCGCCAGACGCATCATAGCTATCACCGCAACCAATGGACGACCCGATCAAAACAAGACTTTGCGTCATTTGAAATCCACCCCACGGAGCGGCGCTGGAGAATCAGCAGGTCCCACACAAGGCGTTTAGACAGGGCAAGATCGATCGCTTGATGGTGCTTTCGAGACCCGCACTGTCCATCGGCCAAGAGGTGATGTTCTTCCCGGTAGGCCATGGCCAGGCGGCCTAATTTCTTGTAGTTCGCTTGGGATTCAGAATTCATGAGCTGGATCGTGCGCATTTTTGTCAGCCGAAAGTCTCCTGGCTTCTTTTCAATGGCAAAATTCGTCAGATGCCGCCAGTTGTCAGGGACAAACCCAGTTGTCAATGGTATGTGGCGGAAGAGAGCGTCGCATTGGGCCACCATAGGAGAATAGATCCCAGCCTTGAAATGCCCGTTATGAAGCCCATGTGGTTCCGAGCCCTTATTCTCTGGATTACGGGACCAGAAGTAAGTATGATCGTCCGGCGACACTTCCATCGGGATCATAGA